GTGGGTCCTTGGAGCAGACCAGCAAGCTAGTCTAGTGGAACCAATAAGCTCTGGCTTCAGTGAAGGATCCTGTCCCCCCCAAATGAGGTGAAGAGTGATGAAAGGAGACACCCAACACGGATCTCCCCCTCATCCCCCCAGAAATATGCACTGCTCCCCAGTATCCATGCTCTTTCCTCCTTGAACCTGTGTAGTGCTTTACAAGCAAAACAACATACATGCACATCCTCAATGACTCACAACTAACGCTCTGAGGTTTCCTGAGATTGACATGTTAAACCTGCTTTAGTTGGTGATTTCCAGTTGTATTTCACAAGTGTATTTACTATGCACTCACCTTTAAATAATGACAAGTTTTATGATACATGCCTTAGAGATTAATAGTCAGGCTAATAGGGAAGTGATTAAAAATATTATAAATATTTCCCCCTTCCATGTTCTGGTCTTGTTTGTGCAGCCATTTCTGGGAGAGACTGTTTCAAAGCAGACTTCTGCTATTCTGGCTCTTACAGTCTTTCCCTCTTTTCTGAGGTCTCCCCTGAGCCAGATGCAGGAGCTGCGATTCAGATGATTCCGATGGAGCTGGGATCCACACAACCTTGATCTCTGCCTTGTGAGCAGTTGTGGTTTTCTGTGACTGGTGTAAAGAGAAGCCTATCTGATGAGGGGTGGTAGCCACACTTACCTGTGGTATAAGGATGAGATTTAGGATGTGGTAAGGAATGATGCTGTTCTAGTCAAGTGTTGATCATAGATTCTAAGTTCCATGACCCTAGTTGCCCCAGTAATCTGGCTAGGTTTCCAGTACCAGACATGATTTCCCTCCTGGGAATAGATCTTGAGTTCAATTAGACAGCTGTTGATTGACGCTTACATGTGAGTACCACTTATTGTACCTTTATGTATATGGTGCTGGGCAAACTACAGTCAACTGATGACTGATGAGAGAAGGAGAATTATTTTCTCCCAGGGATGATCCCACTTAGTGGTTGTCCAATGCAGAGTGGTCAACCTTGCTTCCATATACACAAAAACTGAGTCAGCAGATTGTGTGTGTGTGTGTGTGTGTGTGTGTGTGTGTGTGTGATGTATATGTATATCTATATATACATGCATACAGTTTGCTGAGTATGTATATGTATATATATATGTATATATATACATACACATATATGGGTGTATACATATATACATATGCATATGCATATATACATACATACAAATATCAACACTATAACAATAATCAAATTAAAAAGAAAAGCTATCAACTTGAGTAGAGGACATAAGGGGAATTTGAGGGATGGTAGCTGGGAGGGGCTAGAGGAGAGAAAAAGTGTTCTATTTAAATTAAAATATCATAAATGTATTTTAGATGATTTCTCTACACTCTTGTAGCCTATGAGCCAATGTTTGACATGTAGAAGATATTCAATAAATATTTGCTACTGTTGCCATTTATAAAAAGAATCCTGAAACTATTTTCACTAAAAACAGCCTCATGACAAATGTGTGTCTAGTCACCAAATGACTGCTTTTGAAATATAACTGATAATACTCTTGCTACAATGTGGGCTTAAATGTTTATTTTCCTGGCCTTGTTCCTATTTGTTTAAATGAAACCCTGGGCTTTACTGAAAATGGAGATGTATACTGTTAGACAATGCTGCTGTCATCCTCACTAGAGGAGTCTGCTCTCCCCCTTGACCCAGGTGTGGATGCGGACAGATTCCTAGCGGTGCAAATGTCCCTCTGGTCCAGCTTTGCTAAGGGAGGTGGGGGGATGTCAGCTTCCATCTTCTCTCCATACTGCACCCTTTTGTTGTATGCTAAGGTCTGCAGCTGCGACCCTGCCACAGGGTGAAAAGAATCAAATTAGTGGACTTCTGGCAGGTACACCCCCTTTAGCCTTGAAGCCATGCAAACCTTATTATTTGTTGGCCTCAAATGTCAGCTGCAGCCAGGGCTAGTCCTTGTCATTCTGACTTCCTCATTCCAAAGCCTGACCTAAGGTGTCCTCCAGCCTGGTGCAGTTGTTTCAAAAGCAACAGAGCATGTGTGATAAGTGGGGTTTGCAGTGAACAGGACTCTCTGTAGATCGACACCCCAACTGGGCATCCCTACTATTTTTGCTCGAGAATGGCAACATCTGTGACAGCCTATTGCATGCCTATCATTGTTGCCATGAGAGCTTTGAAACTTTAATTATTACCCATTCTTTGAAGTCAAGTTGGAGGCCTGGAGACTATAAAGTAGGTTATTATTGCCTGTTTGGTTAGCTGCTTGCAACCCAAATGCCCACTTCCTACCTGAAGGCAGAAGTTACCACATAGTAACGGGCTATCCACACCCTGAACATGAAATGCTGGTATGTCTAGATAAGAGTGAAGATGACAAATGGGGCTGGAGAAAAGACAAACATGAGGATCTATGTTTTATCTCCAGAACCCATGTTAAGAAGATAAATGAATAAAAGCCAGGAATGGTAGTGTCCACTAATAATCCCAGTGCTGGAAAAAGAGAGACAGGCAGATCTCTAGGACTCACTGGCCAGTCAGCCCAGCTAAACTGGTATCCCAGGTGTAATGATAAATCTTTATGCCCAAGCCACCCAAGCCCTGCCACCTCATGGGCACTTTCTGCCAGGCCACCCGAGTTCCACCCACCACCACATTAATGTCCCAAGTAACACACAGAGACTGCTTGGCCAATGACTAGGATGACTTGGCCATCTACTAACTCAGTCTTAATCATCAACCATAATCATGAGACTTATCTTAAGCAGGATGCCGACAGAAGGCGTCCTGTCTTCCTGGGCTCACATGGCGGCTCCACAGAGAGGAGGAGGAAGAGCAAGAGAAAAAGAATGATGTCCTGTTTGTCTCTGCTTATATATGAGTCTGCCTGCAATGTCACTTCCTGCCTGGATCACAACACTTCTTTACTATATTTCCCAGAATCCTCCTCGACTCCTAGTCCCACCTACCTTGCTTCTTCATTGGCCAACAGTACTTTATTTAACAACCAATAAGAAGATAAACATACACAGAAGGACATTCCCCATCAACCAGGTCTGTGAGAAACCCTGTCTTAGAAACTGTCAGCCTAAGGTTGTTGGGGTCAACTGGAACCAAGGGTAGGTAACCAAGTCGATGGAGCACGGGGCAAATAGACAAAAACACCTCTTGATAACCAATTAACTTGGACAATGGAAAATGTTTTCAGTCAGATGCTGCCCCAGTTGCTGCGCACAGATCATAACTCCTCACCATCTTATTCATAATGTCATCCCCACTCTCTTGCTTCAAGATTCCTAGGAAGAAACGGTATGCGTTGTGAGGTCAGGTGTGACATCTATTTTTGTGTCTGTGTCTATTCACAAAGTCTCAAATGTATTGGGGACTGGCTAAATGTCTGCAGAGTTAAGGCATTGAACACAGTGATGTGCTCCTTAAATGGGAGAACTTCGTTGCAGCTGTCATTGAGATTGTCACAGTTACCATTGGTGTTACCAGCATCATCAGTGTGACCATCAGGTGGTTTTCTGTTGGGAATCCTCTCTCTGCTCTTCAGACCCCGGTGAGATGAACACCACAAGCATATATGGTCCTGATGGGTCTGTCACTCTTCTCAGCCTGGGAATGTCTCCTAGACTTCTTCCATCTCACCAGAATACTCTGTATTTTCACTACTCTAACCAAGAGACAGAAAACACTCAGTATGAGAAGTTCAGAGAATAGGTTTGTCTCCCCTGCCTCTTCACAGAGACTTCCTCTCCTGTCTTTCTGTGATTAGCAAAAAGAAAGCAATTCCCCCCAAATGTGGTAGCTTTAAAAACATAAAGGCATTTATTGCCTCACCACTTCTTGTTTCCAGAAGCAGGGCATGGCTTTTCTAGGTCTTCTAGACAAAAGTCCATCAAAAGTGTATTCAGGGTCCCTGGGCTCAGCTTGGGGGGAGGGTAGGGGTTATCTCCCAGACTCATGAGCACAGCAGTCAAAAAGGAGCCATCAGCTCTTTTCCATGTGAGGCTTTGTACAGGCCTAACTGACAATGTGGCTGTTTGCTGTCCCCCAGAATAACAAGAGAGATGGAAGTTCACAGGTACACATTAGAAACAGTCACTGTACCACCCCATACTCAAGAGAGGGGGTTAAACAATAGCACCACACCAGGAAGCTAGCATCACTGGGGATCATATTAGACAGAAGCTGCCCACCAAAAAGAGAGATGCCGTTTTCCTTAAATACAGGCACAGGATCACCTTGATTTTCTTCATTCTATCCCCCTCTGTGGTAGCCATCCCACCCACAATGCCTCACCAAGCTTACCAGTAACAATTTAAAAAAGGATGGGGAATCAGAGGCACAAGCAAGTTCTAAGAATAACTTCCAATATGATGATATAGCTGTCTCTGTGTGTACACACTGACACTGGGTCATGAAAAGCACCTCAGCTACCCCATGGGCTTGTCTGAGCAGTAGTTTCCTGATGAGACATATAGCTCCCCAACGAATATATTAAAAAAAAAAAGAATTCCAAAGGTTATGGACCCAGAAGTTACAGATTTACATGTTCCCGTTCCTGTGCCTACGTTGCAAAGATTTGATGCTAATTTCAGAAGATCTTGAAGCCTGCTTTCTGTTAGCTTGATGTACACATTCAACACTGCCCTCCTGATTCTGATATAAATGTCTCAGCAACAGTTACACTACCTCGCAAATGAGTTATCTAAACTCCTCACCTCCTTTCTTACAGCACACACGGAAGGAGGAAATGGGGGCCTAATTTGTATTCAGAGAGGCCCAGGGACAAAACTGACTCATGGACACACAAACACACACACACACACACACACACACACACACACACACACACACACACACACACACATATATTTTTTTTTCAGGTGGAGCTGTCAATGAAGCTTTTTGGGGAGGAGAATGTTTTAAAATAGGTCTGTAGTTGCATACATAACATTTTCCTTTTGTTTCCTTTTGCAGATTGTATCCCAGAGAAAGCTTTCCAAGTCCTTGCTGAAGCATGGGAACACAGCTGGGAAATCCTCCATCACGGTAAGCTGACCCTGTGGTGGCAACAGTTATTAGACCCCTTGCACTCACTGATCCAAAAGAGATGCTAGGATGGTGAACTCTGCCTGTTGGGAGCTGGCTGAACTACCAGAGGCATCTCTGTCTCCCCACCCCCCATTTTTCTTTCTTGTTAAAACCATTTTGATCCTTCAACCCTTAGGGAAAATGGGAGGAAAGTAGATTTGGCAGTGGGGCCGCTCACTTCTGCAGAGAACTTATGCAATCACAGGAGAAATCACAAATAGAGTATGAAAAAGAAGATTGACTTCGTTGGATGAAGTAAGAATACAGAATTAGCTGGAGTTTTGGGGTTGGCAAAGTGCAGCCTCCCCTATCCCTAAATAAATTTGTTTTAAAAGCATTTAGCTCAAAGTTTGGATTGCTTTCCAAGGAGAGACCAACTTTAATACTCTTCATCGAGTAACAGATTAGAACTCTGATGCTTGGTTCCATAGACAATAGTTATTTAAGCAAATTTATTCTTTATTAAAAATGAAAAGGATGCCAAAATTCAGTTCCTTTGTGACATTAGCAATGAATTAATTGCTCAATAGTTAATGAGTCTAGAGACTTGTTAAAGAAAAGGCAGGTGCTTTAAAAAATATTTTTTGAGACAGGGTCTCCCTATGTAGCCCTGGCTGGCCTGGAACTTGTTATGTAGACCATGCTAGCCTCAAACTCACAGAGATTAGGTGACTTCTGCCTCCTAAATTCTGGGATTTAAAGTAGGTATCTCCACACCCAGAAAGGAAGCTTTTCTTAGTTGTTGCTCCTGATGCCTCTGCCTCCAGCCTGGGTCCCAGCACGTAAAAGCTAGTCAGTCACCCACTGCTGTGTATTCTAGTGAGCTCCCTTCCAGGGCTGAAAATGGTGCACCATCTGCATAAGGAGTATGGGGAGACTTCTTGCCCAATGTCTGCGTTTGTTCATTTTGAGGCCAAAACTACCCAAATGTGCTGCTAGGCTCCTGCACAGAGGGGCCCACCCTTCTCAGCAGCTGATGTGTGCTTTTCCCTTAGGTGATTGCTGAAGAATTATCAGGCAATGATGACTATGTGGAGCTTGCATTCAATGCACGGAAATTGGACGATAAGGTAAAACGTTTCTCGTTGACCTCATTGAAGGAAGTAATAAAGCTAAGACGAACAGTTTAATCAGATTCCTCCTCAAAGCTATTTTTCCCTTTCAACCCACATTATTAAACACATCAAAGACTTCAGAGAGGTCTGGAAGGCGAGGGGTTTTTCTTTCCCAAATGGAGAAGCATTTGGTAAGACAATTCGGTAATACTAAGTCATCATTTGTTTCCAAATGCCAGAGGTTGGCTGTGCCCAGGAATATATGCCATTCTGTCATCATTAGGGTCATTCTAAAGGAAAAGAGAAGCCATGAAGGGGAATGTCATGACACATCAGTAAGCGTCTGTGTTTGCCCAGTTCAGGGCTAAGAGCTTTGCATACACTCATTTGTCCAATTCCCATGTGGTAGGTAGTATTAATGCAGGTGAAGAAGGAGAATAAAAGATGCAATAGCTAGTTCAAGCTTCCTCCATGTCACAGTTTGCAGCTACTGAGTAACAGACACTAAGGCAGAATCAAAGACACAAGAAATGTGTCTACAGAAATGCCTGTGGGTTGCATAAGGGGAAAGCAGGGAGATTAGCAGGTAATGAGGAAATTCTGACTCCAAATGACAAGAGATGAATGTGTATGGGTAGAAGTCCCCTAGAATGCTACCCAGACCAAGAGAGGTTCAGCAAAAGCATTGGAAAGTTCCAGAGTCAAAGTCAGCCACTGAGAACTGTATCTCTCAGCCAAGAGCCTGCCTCAATGTCCCTTCTGTACTTAGTTACTAGACAGAGCAGTCCAAGGCAGTCTGGTCACAATGTAAATACATGGATGGACATCAGAGCTCAGAAGGTATAGCCCTTGCTCAGTTCCATTCCCTAGAGAAAGGGCGTGCAAGGTGTGTTTCCATGGCCACCACATCCTGATATTAAATGATAAAACTTAAGATCCAACCCCGTGTCAGTCTACCTTCCATCATGCTCTTTCCATGGTAACATCCTCCCAATCACCTAATTAGTCCTGAGTGTATGTGTGTGCGTGCATGCAAGCATGTGTGTGTATACGCATGTGTGTAGGCCCTACACATGACAAAGCTTAGACCCCAATTTCACCATATCATACCTATCATTTTCCTTCAAATACGTCCTTAAATCAAAAACCATGTCATGTTAGTAATTATTTACACTGGATTCCAACTTCCTGGAGTAAGAATCAATTTTTATGCCAACTCTCTTATTTGTTAATTTATTCCTTAATTCATCACTCATTTGGCAAACTGTGTTGGGTGTTTGTCAGCAACAAAGCACTAGGAAGAAGGCACACCACCCTCACACCACAGCCTGGACTTCGTCATCTAAATTAGATGTAAATCAAAAAGCCACATGGCATATAACAGAATAGTGATGTGCAGGGTATGATCATTGGTGTAGGAATAAGAGTGTCTGGGAAGGATGGCTGCTCATTCTGCCTGGCAATATCCAGGGAGACTTTAACCCTGATAAACTAAATGCGCGCGCGCGCGCGTGTGTGTGTGTGTGTGTGTGTGTGTGTGTGTCTTTGTGTGTCTGTCTGTGTGTCTGTGTGTCTGTCTGTCTCTCTCTCTCTCTCTCTCTCGTGTGTGTGTGTTTATGTGTCTGTCTGTCTGTCTGTCTGTCTGTCTGTCTCTCTCTCTCTCTGTGTGTGTGTGTGTGTGTGTTTCTGTGTCTGTCTGTCTGTCTCTCTTTCTGTGTGTGTGTTTCTCTCTCTCTCTCTCCCTCTCTCTCTCTCTCTGTGTGTGTGTTTCTGTGTCTGTGTGTCTGTCTGTCTCTCTCTCTCTCTCTGTGTGTGTGTGTGTGTGTGTGTCTTTCTGTGTCTGTCTGTCTGTCTGTCTATCTGTCTCTCTCTCTCTGTGTGTGTGTGTGTTTATGTGTCTGTCTGTCTGTCTGTCTGTCTCTCTCTCTCTCTCTCTCTCTCTCTCTGTGTGTGTTTCTGTGTCTGTCTGTCTGTCTGTCTGTCTGTCTCTCTTTCTGTGTGTGTGTGTTTCTGTCTCTCTCTCTCTCTCCCTCTCTCTCTCTCTCTCTCTTTCTCTCTCTCTCTCTCTCTGTGTGTGTGTGTGTGTGTGTGTCTTTCTGTGTCTGTCTGTTTGTCTGTCTTTCTCTCTCTCTCTCTCTCTCTTTCTCTCTCTCTCTCTCTCTGTGTGTGTGTGTGTGTGTGTGTGTATTTGAATATTGTTCCTCAGGAGCCATCCATCTTCTTTTTAAAAACAGGGTCTCTCACTGGGACTTAGAACATAGCAATTATGTTGAATTGGTTCGCCAGCAAACCCCAGGGATCTACACATTTCTGTGTCCCCAGTGTGGAGACTACAAACCTGTATTACCAAATATAGACACTTTGCTCCTATTTATTCTTTGAAAGTTTTGCACTAGTGTATCTTGATCATATCCCTTTGGGGCCCTAGCCAACACATTTCCCTCCCAACTTCATGGTTTTTTTTTAATTAAAAAATTATAACCCACTGAGTCCAATTAATGTTGCCTATATGCACACAGGTGTGGAGCTATCCACTGGGGCATGGACACTTATCAGTAACCAACCCCACACCTGCAAAATTGACACTTCCCCAAGAAGCTATCAATTGCCAACACTTCAGCTAGGAGTGAGGCCTGGGGACCCCTCCTCACCATAGAAAGTGGCATTTTTAACTGGCTTGATTTTGTGCGGGTCTTGGGAAGGTAACCACAGCCTCTGTAAGTTCACATGTACAACAACCATGTCATGTCCACAGGACAGAATTTCACAGTGTTCCTCCCCACCCTCCAGTTCCTACATTCTTTCTGTCTCACCGTCTACAAATTCTCTGAACACTGCAGGAAGGGTTGATCAAGATATCTCATCTATAGCTGGGCACACTCAGTCACTTATTCCCAACACTGACCAGTTTTGAGTCTCTGCATTACCCATCATGCACTGAAATAAGATGTTTCTGGTCAGGGCTGAGAGCAACACGAATCTACGGTTATAAGCACGAATGCTTACAAGGCAGTTTGACACCCATTTGGCAAAATAACATTGAGAGTTTTTCTCTTGGGGTTTTAACTTCAGTAGCCATGTGTATTAACCATATTTATAAAACCAGACATGAATTCTCTTTTGTGGAACAGCCCTCAGATCCAATCAAGAGAGCAGTTGGTTATCCCATAAGTAACTTTGCCACTGTTACATAAGTGGACCCATCTTGTCTAATAGACTGGTTTTGGAGCATTGAGGGTCCAATGCTAGATAAGACCATCCATGTCCTTCCCCCGCATCCAGTGGCCTGCACAGCACCTGTCAGCACTATGAAAAGTAGCTGTTGAGTAGAGAATTTTCTGGTCTGTTCATGACTGGAGTCAAAATAGGTGGTGTCTTCAGCAGTAGAATCTTTCCCTCTTGTTATCACACCTGGCTTTTTATACATGAATCTATAGACTGAACACAGTCTTCACACTTAGTAAGCCCTTTATCAACTGACCTAGCTCTTCAGCCCCACAAACTAAGTACCACTCAGTGTTTGTTGTTGTTTTGTTTTATGTCTTAAGTGGCTAATGTGAAACATTTACCAAAGGGTCTCTTGTTGGTGTTCAGAGCTGAGTGCAGGGTTTGCAGTTGCACCCAGTGGACTGGGGTATGGACTTGAAATCCTCGCCCTCTCACCAATATTAAGCTCCTCCTTTTCCAATGTCTTCCCCAGTCTCAGAAGAGTTTACAAAAATGCTTTGCAGTCTCTTTGCAGCAAGTGTAATAATTGGGGGTTGCTTGTTTAATAGCTTACAATGGTTTCTCTTCAGTCATTATCCTCTAAGTGCCTCTAGTTTGTTCTGCCAGTAACTAATGTAACAGTCCAGAGGCAGGGAGGCTTGAGGTTTGTTAGTGGCCCTGTTTTCTCTAAAGAACTTGAACAGTCGCTTTTGTCATCTGGACACTTGTGCATATGAAAGAGCCTCTGTCACATTTCACATGGTTCTGAAAGGTTGCTCATGCCTGGCACTTGGGCTGGCCAGACCCTGGGCTCAGCCAGGATAGTCAACAGAGTACCTACATAACAGATATCCTATAGCATACCTGGCTTCTCCCAGAAAGGCAATCTCAATAAGCAGGTAGGAACTTCAAACAATTTGCTGACTCAACATTTGAAGTCATTCACCAGACATAGGAGAGAGGAATCAAATCAGACTCCAGGTCTATAGGAAAATGGTAAAACCATGTTATAGAAAATATATGTACCCCAAATATTGTGGCAGCCATCTTTAGAAAATGTGAACTTCCATATTTTTTGCTAGATAAGAATAACACAACACAATTATTTTCTTTCACAAGTAGAAAAAAGTAGTTTCTGGAAATCCTCAAGAATATTCCTTTCCAGCTTTTTAGCTTTAAATAATTTTGTGACCACTTATGTAGTCAGCAGATACAGACACTGGCTAGAAATAAAAGAGTAAACGCTATTTTGATACAAATACGTTCTTGGGTTTTATTATATTAGTGAGTGATATTAAAGTGACTGATTTCTAAAAAAATTGCAGCATGAATATATGGGGGAAATGGACTGTATCCAATTCATACCTGTCACAAACATCTGATTCCCCAATCTCCTGGTTAGTATGATAACCTCCAAGTATTTAAATACCACAGGTTAAAAAAGAAAAATCATGGCTCTATCCATCGGCCTTCTTTTCTAGATGGCAAATTGAGATCCTGAGATGTGAAATGATTTACCTAAAGCCACATGTATACGCTCAAAACAGAAAACAAGAATCAGGTACAGAGAGTGACCCAGTGAGTCTCCTGACTCCCAGCCAAAGCTTGAATTGCTTCAGAGGAACAGGAAGTCAGGAGAGGGAAGGTGAGGGTATGCTGGAGGTCAGCAGTTGTCCAAAAGAGGTCTAGTATCTGAGAACCCTTCCATGGAAATCCCTAAAGTTAAACCTGTTTCCATAGCAACATCAAGACATCTTTTCTCTTTTGATTTTCATTCTCTCACTCATGAACAATGAAGTTTTCTCAAG